CAGGTAATTTGGTGCCTACATACTTCTTTCTGCATTTCTGCTGCTATTCTCAGATTAGTCTGCCTTTTTTCCCAGTGATTGCCTGTTGTTTTTTTTCTGGGGCAGGGGGAGAGTTCTCTAGTTCTAAGGGCCATCAGGAGTCCAGGTGATTTTCCTGTTTCTTTTTTCACAGTTGCTGATATCACAGTGGTCTAGTGGTTTGTCTCCACCTATTAATGGTGATATATTGTTATTTAGTGTTCCTGTAGATATTGCTGTAGATATTGTGTTTAGTTTTGCTACTCTAGTTAGTCTGTTTTTATTAGGAATTTCAGGAATATTCAAAAAGTTATGCCACTTGTATTTCCAACTTCCCAGAATCTGGACAAACTTTAATACTTATGTATTTGGGTAATGCACATTAAAATAGAGTTAATGTACCAAGTGGATTTCACAAACTACACAAATGTGTGCCTAGGTTAGTCTCTGTTTAAAATAAACTGATAGGGACTTCCCTGGTGGTGCAGTGGTTAAGGATCCACCTGCCAATGGAGGGGACACGGGTTCAAGCCCTGGTCCGGGAAGATCCCACATGCCGTGGAGCAGCTAAGCCTGTGCACCACAACTACTGAGCCTGCGCTCTAGAGCCCATGAGCCACAACTACTAAGCCCGCGTGCCACAGCTATGCACCTCAACGAAGGGTAGCCCCCGCTTGCCACAACTAGAGAAAAGCCCGCGTGCAGCAATGAAGACCCAACGCAGCCAAAAAAATAAATAAAATAAAATTTCTCTCATTAAAAAAATTTTTTTAATAAAATAAACTGATATAAGTCAAAAAATTACAATAATCTCAAAAATAAAATTAACAATATTAATGGTGGTATGCAAACATGGCAAAAAAAGTTTCGTAGTGATATATACGAGTAACTCCATTTGGAAATACTGTTATAGTTAAATGCCTTTAACCATAAAAGACAAGGGTTTTGTTGTTTTATTTTGTTTTTTAAATTATGGGGTTGGAGTAATATTTTGAAGCAGCAATAGAAAGCAAAGAAGGCACTGATCCCATCTCCGGATCTTGAAATAAGGGTATAAGAAAACAAACAACCACTGTCTGAGAATGATGTGGGGAAGATGGGGCCCCAATGGGAAGGCCTGGCTTCAATTAAGGAAGTGGGGGAGGAGTTATCAGTGAAGAGGACAGCTGATATTGATGAGAGCTTGAAACACAACAAAGTTCTAAAGGCTAGGTATAACTTTCAAAATATCCAATTTTTTTTTTAATGTGCTGTTGATAATAATGAGGATGTTCATACCCCATGATCCATTAGTTATACTTCAGGGAATTTATCTTAAGTAGCTGAATGGCCAGAAGAAAGCTGTTAGTTTAAGGACGATCCTTGCTATAAAGATTGTAATAGTTTAAATAAGGTAAAAACCCAAACTGAAAAAGCGTATGCTTCAATAATTGAAAATTACTAAACAAATGATGATGTGTATATATGACATTCAACCACAAACAGCTTAAGAATCATGCAAAACATTTTAAGTAAAAATATAGGTAACACTTTTTGGTTAATAAAATTGCAAAGTATGAAAAAAAATACATGCATACAAATAAGATTTGTATAGATATAGAAAAAAAGAAATAAGATTTTCAGGATATTAGGATGATAGAATTGTTTTCATTTATAAATTTTTTTAAAATTTCTTTTTTAAAGTTTATTTTTGGCTGCATTGGGTCTTTATTGCAGTGCGCAGGCTTTCTCTATTTGGGGCGAGCGGGGGCTAGTCTTCGCTGTGGTGCACAGGCTTCTCATTGCAGTGGCTTCCCTTGTTGCTGAGCATGGGCTCTAGAGAGCAGGCTCAGTAGCTGTGGCTCATAGGCTCTAGAGCTCAGGCTGAGTAGTTGTGGTGCACGGGCTTAGTTGCTCTGCAGCATGTGGGATCTTCCTGGCTCAGGGCTGGAACTCATGTTCCCTGCATTGGCAGGCGGATTCTTAACCACTGCACCACCAGGGAAGTCCTATAAGTTATTTTTGACATTATTATAGTTTACTTACATATATCTATCTATCTATCTATCTATCTATCTATCTATCTATCTATATATATATATATCACCTTCCTGAAAAGAGAGACTACAAAACTTCATCTAATATCACTTTTAAAATGAACATAATTTATTAATGGTGCTTCCTTGGAGTTCTTTATGTGTTTTTCTGTGTCATTTCTTCTTTGGAGAAATATTTATAAGCTCTAAAATGACAATTAGGTGTGAAAACAGTAAAAAGATCAGCATATGTCAGGAGTTGGTAGGAGGAAGGTATGAATAGGCAGAGCACAGAGGATTTTTAAGTCAGTGAGACTATTCTATATGATACTAAAATAGTGGATACATGTCAGACATTTGTCAAAATTCATGGAATGTACAACACCAAGAATGAACCCTAATGTAAATAAACTATGGCCTTTGGGTGATGATGTGTTTGATGTCGGTTCACTGATTGTAACGAAGGCAACACTGTGGTTAGGGGTGTTAGTAATGGGGGAGGCTGTGCATGGGTGGGGCAGGGGATATATGAAAACTCTGTACTTTCCACTCAGTTTTGCTATGAACATAAAAGTTCTCTAAAAGTAATTGTCTATTAAAATTTTTAAAAGGACAGTTAGAGCCTAGGTTATAACGTTTTATGTTGTACCTGATCCAGGAAATGTGATCTGAAGCCTAAAGCACCAATTTGGGGTTTAAGCAGAGGAACATAACAAACTGTGAGTTGGATTCTGTTAGGGTAGTTTCCCTATAGTTTTTCAGTGAGAAACAACTCTGTGCTTCTCAGTGACTCTTTTGTCATTTATACGAGGACTGTAGGTGGGGTCCCCTTCATAGGTGTTCCCTGAGGATAGATGAATCTCTATAGTAAAACTGTTCTCATTTCTTGGATTAAAAGCACTTTACAAACCAATCACAGATCCATGTCTTTTCTACCTTATGTTTTGTTACAGTTACACAGGATGAATGGAGAAGCAACCGTACAATAGAAATAGAGATAAATCAGACTCTGGAAATACCGTGCTTTCAAAATATCTCCTTAGAAATTTCATCTGAGCTCACCTTCGCGTGGTTGGTGGTAAGTGTTGCCCTTTTCAGTGAATAACTGCAATGATCTTTAAATATTAATGAAGTAAAAATGAATAACAAGTAATAATAGGAAAGGAAACATGCTGGATGAGAGACAGGCATTATGTGGAAGGTTGGGGAGTAGCCAGGGGAGGGAAGGAAGGACGCTAGGATTCCCTCCAACTCAGCAAGCCTCTGGGTCTGTGAATGCAGGAGCTTAGAAATTAGCTCCTCAAGGTTAGTTTATATTTTAAGCTATATGCTAAACTGTAATTACAGAGAGAAGGCAGTGTGATGGTGCCCCCGAGAGGAGCCACATCCTGCAGAAGCTCCTACTCACACATACTTGTTTACACACATGTGCAGAGGTGTAGACTACCTTTTCCCAGAACCTTTACTACTCCATCCTGGAAAAGATACAACATTGCTTAGATTGGGAAGCACAAACTCTAATGCTTATCAAACATAGGGAGAAAATGGGCATGAGAGAAGCAGGAACTGAATAAGAAACAGTCACTGCCCAGCTCTGTTGTTGCCACAGGCCTGTAGTTGCCATATTTTCTGACTTAAAAGAATAAAACAAAACAAAACAGAAATCTGGATTTTTATGAGAAATTTTCCAAGGCAAGCCAGCCAAATGACAGCCAGCTCTTAACCAAATGACAGCCAGCTCTTAACCAATATATACAGTAGACCTCTAGTACTACTGTTAAATCAGTTGATAACACAAGTCTTACACAATTATAAAGGTAACCATAAACACACTTTCGAGAATCACATAATAGGGTGTTTATTTAGGTGATCCAGAAGATGATTATATTAATTTTTCATATCATCATCAAAATGAAAACACAAGAGTTAAAAATTCTTGCAGAACTAATAGTTGTCCCTGAATATAGCTGCTGATACCACCTGCAAAATACTGTACTCGCATGGTTGATCATTCATGTTACAAGTGAATAGATTTTTGTGGGCTGTCTTGGAAACTGGAACCTTCATATAAAAAGATTTCTCTGAGGATGTGCCAAACCCAAAATAATTGACTTGCAAGTAGGCCTTAAAATACAACCTACTGATAATTTTTTACTGTCTAGATATTTTTGGATAGTCAGTAGGATCAAAAGATATTATAAAATAACTTTCTCAAATTGTCCTAAAATCTACAATGTCTCCTTGTCATCTGTCAAAAAACACATTTTTTTCCCCCTTTTAGGGTTTGGTTTCCAAAATGTAAGACTTCCTGCCTGACATTATACCCATCATTAGTATAAGTCAATTGTTCTTAACAAATGTGGTACAGTGTGGTTCTTAGAAAAAAAATTTAAAAGTGGAGATTATGTCAGGAAGTCAGAAACCTGCTGCACTAAACATTACTGTAGTGAAAAGGCAGTATCTATACCTTGTTTACATTATTAATATATACCACCAATGGGCGAAACGTTTCTACCCTAATTATCACAAATTCACTATCAATGGGAATAGTAAAGTCTAATAGTAATAAATAAGACTAAACTTTACAGAATATTGAGCAGAGTTCCCTGTGCTCAATATTCTGTAATAACCTAAGTGGGAAAAGAATTTGAAAAAGAACAGATACATGTATATATATAATTGAATCACTTTGCTGTACACCTGAAACCAACAAAACATTGTTAATCAACAATACTCCAACATAAAATAAAAATTTTAAAAAGAATAATACTAAAAAAATAAAAGACAAAAAAAAGTTTAAAAAGACTATAAAGTTTAATAAGCTTTACTGTACAGATTTTTGCTGGCTAGTCAGTTGATCTGTAGTGGACTTATCTTATCTGAAGGGTGTCTAATCTGTTTTCCCAAGCAAATGTTAAAGCTTTCAGTCAGCTTATGCCTTTTCTGTGACGCTGAGCTTCTCCAGGGCAAAAAGCTGCATCACTCATTTCAAAAATCCCTAGCATCTAGTATAGTGCCTAGACATAGGCACACAGTAAATATCTAATACATAATTAAATTGTTTCATTTCTCTTTGTCCCCTTCCCTCACAGTCCTATTCGTTGGCCTCATATTAAATGGATGATCACTAAACCTCATGCTGGCTGTCTGATTGGTTAATGCGCAGCTCATTAAGTATCAATGGCTAGATAACTGATAAGACATCCTGTATCTAACAGTTTTCTTCAAAGAAGCTAACATTATCTGTGAATCCTGCCAACACATTTAGGATAAATAAGGGATGGAGAGATTGCACCTAAGGTCACAGAGTGAGAGAGTGAGTCCTTAACTTCTACTGGAACTTCAAGCCATGCTCTCATTTTAAAGAATGCATCATAATTGAGACAACTTGAGGAATCTTTTTGAAAGAAACTTCTTTTCACAGGGAACATTGTATTGGCAAATGTGCTGATCAGATTCCAACTGTGCATTCCCTTTTAAAATGTCAAAATCTATTTGCTCCCCTAATTTACATCCATACTCCATACTGCCAGGCACTGTGGGGTTCAGCAAGCCTGAGATGAAATCATCTGATCTCCCATTATTAAGGAATAAACTACAGTTCTTTATGTCGTGACTGTTGTAGGTCTGCAGAGAACATAACTATCCCCTCAATCCATTTTTTAGTGCTTTAGTTTCTTGTTAAACTGGCAGCAGTAATCATAATGATAACCAGTTGTTCTTAACAGACATGATATAATGTGGCTTTTAGAAAAAAGTTAAAAAGTAGAGATGGTGAAGATGAGCCCAGGAGGGTAGAAACCTGCTTTATTGAACTCAGTAACTCCGGGGAGCTGCAAAGTGCTTCCACTTCAAGTGCTGCATTAAACCCTGGAAACAATTTGACAAACTAAAATCAGTTTATTCTAAGTCACTGGAAAACAAAAGCCATGTCTTGTATGTGGAATTTTATAAAATCTAATTAATTCAGTTATGACCTTCATGAGAAAGGTTATTATTGGGGTTCTCAGTTATCATAAAAATATTATTTGCTGTGTATCTCTGATCCCATGCTAACGCTACGTTAAATGTGTTCATGGAGCAGATCCTTTGCATTTTGGAATGCTACATTCCAGGATCATGACTACACTGAAGTAGGAAGGCATCTGGTGCAAACTGTGCATCCAACATTTATCAAGAAAGAGAGGTAACTAAGTAAACACAAAGGGCTAACCCTCGGTGTCAGCTGAGGCTCCGTGTGCATGGTTGGATGATGTAGAAAAAGTCATAGAATGTGTGTATTTAGATGGAATGCAGGTGGTAGCGAAAGGACAAGTGCTATTTTTCCTACTTTATGTCCTGGGGCACAAGCATGCAGTCAACAGGGAAATTCTGTGGGCTTACTCTGGGAGCTTCTAAATACAGTCTAATATTCTGTGTTCATTCCAAACTATCATCCTGACTTCCCACAGTAGAAATTTCAGTTCGATCTAACGAACATATGTGAATCTGTTTTAAGTACTAGGTCCTGCAGGGATACAAAACTATATTGAACATGTTTCCTACCATGAAATACAACTTTAATAAAAATGTAAAAACTAGCAACAAAGAGGGAAAATAATTTGATTCTGACTAAATGTACCTGGAAAAGCCTCTTAAGTTATGTCTGAGCTGGATAATTAAAGCCAGCAAACAACAGACATGTACTACACCAAGACGCTGGGACCTGTGAGCACATAGTTGTAGTGGGAGTCGGGGAGGTGATGAGGGAATGTTTGTTCCCAAACTTGGTGGATAAAGAGAAATCCATGACTTCTCTCTTTAAAATCATGAAAAGAAAATGAGAAGCATACTAGATTCACACAGTTCAATATTAGTGATAAAGGTATATAACTAAAACCTAGATGCTTATGCTTCTTTAAATTTTTATCTATAAATGTCTCTCTTCAATATTCTCTTCTTTATTATTTGTAATGTTCTATATGTAAACAAAAATCGAAATGGTACCATCAACAATATTGGTTTTCCATGCCTATGGGAAGCCTAGCTATTCAGAAAAGAAAGCTGTCACCTTCTACCTGATGGCAACTGACCCTAACTGTCTTCAACATAATCAAAAATGATGTGTTAACAAATACCGTATGCTAACACATATATATAGAATCTAAAAAAAAAAAAAATGGTAATGAAGAACCTAGGGGCAGGATGGGAGTAAAGATGCAGACCTACTAGAGAATGGACTTGAGGACACGGGGAGGGGGAGGGGTAAGCTGGGGCAAAGTGAGAGAGTGGCATAGACATATATACACTACCAGATGTAAAATAGATAGCTAGTGGGAAGCAGCTGCATAGCACAGGGAGATCAGCTTGGTGCTTTGTGACCACCTAGAGGGGTGGGATAGGGAGGGTGGGAGGGAGATGCAAGAGGGAGGGGATATGGGGATATATGTATATGTATAGCTGATTCACTTTGTTATACAGCAGAAACGAGCACACCATTGTAAAGCAATTATACTCCAATAAAGAGGTTAAAAAAAAATGAAGTGTTAGCCAACCTACAAAATGTTGACAACCAATTGTGATGATTGGAAGGATTGTTGTGGACTTCTATAAAATGGACATGGGGAGCTTTGCAAGGAGCCTACTTGACAGCACTGACTGGATGGAGAATAAATGGAGCAAAGTGAAGATAGGAAGCAGTTAGGAGATAAAGAAGTAACAATCGATGCAGTTAACAGAGTTTATTGAATGGGCTCTATACGCACAGCACCTACTTGTCCTGTGGCCACCACTGCCAGCCCTGACATGGAGCTCAGGGCAACCCAGAGATGAGGTCACCTCACTAAATCAAATAGTTCCATGGTCTCTTTTCTGCATTGAAAATTCTGATTCTAGTACTAAAATAGGAACCCCTCTGCAAATTATTTTAGGGTTTGTCAGGTCATTAAGAGACATTCAGGAGGAGTTTTCCATGATTCAATATGAACCCTCCCAGCCCTCATCATGCTAATTTTTTTATCCAACTCCTGTATGTTATTATGCATTTATTTTTCTTCTATGGGTCCTGATTTTCTATTTGTTTTTCTTGTGAATTTTTCTTCTCCTCAAACAGACTCTCAGCAGAAAAGTCAAGGACTGTCCATTCTACTACTTTTGTGAAGCAGGTATGTAGCAAAGGCATTAATTAATAGCATGTGGCTTTTCAAGGGAAATTGTTGTTTTCAAATCCTGGCTCTACATATTTTTTTTTTCTGGCTCTACATTTAATAGCTGTGTGACCTAGGAGCTAGGATTAGGGTGAAGTGAGTAGGGTCCTCACCTTGGGTGCACAATTTAAGGAAGTGCCCCAAGAAATCAGTAATCAAGATATATATCTTAATAAAATATTTTTAAAAATCAAAATTTAGGGGAAATCCATGATGAACAAAATGTCAAATTTTAAAATAAAGGCACAATGTTTTTTGTTTGTTTTGAGATCCTGCTGTGCTGTTCAAAGAACAGGATTTTCCAGTCAGCCTGTGGTTCCTTGGTCTTCATGGCATCATGCCCCCCACGGGTGCGGGTTTGAAGGTTGACAAGGTCAGGAGAAAAGATTGAGCAATGCATGGCTTCCTGTAGTCATTTTTCAAAATGTTAAATTGTAGAGAGTTTATTAATTTTTTTCCACTGAGGCAAAATATGGGAGAATATTTTGATAAGTGCATATAGGGATACACATTTTTCCTTTTGTCTCAGAATTCTATACAGCCTTGGATACGTTGCCCAGCCTGAGTTTTAGTTCTATCATCCACAAAAGGGGATAAATGTAGTTACATAATATAATTATATAATTATAGTTTTATAATTATAATTATAGCTTTATAATTATAATTATATTGTTATAGTACCGGCTCCATTGTGTTGTTGTGAGGTTCTAAATAACTTAGCACAGTACCTATGCTCAATACATATTAAAAACTAATCTTTACAGAGTTTGTTTTAGGACTCTCCATAATTCTTCAGTTTAGTCTAGCAGAGAGTAAATACTCATGAATTCACAGCAGGCTGACTCAGTTGAGGCTGGAGGACAGTGATTTAGTATTAATTGAACATCTGTTGAGTGTTAGGACTTGTGTAGGTTTATCATATACATTAGCTAGTTCAGTCTACATTCCTCATTCAGTTTTGTGAGGGTCTACCAAGTTGGAAATCCCATGAAGTTTTGGAAATATTTATTAATATTTTTTAAATGATCAAAAGAAGAAAAGAAAAGAAAAACAGGCAAGAATAAAGGGTCTGTGCAAGATCCCCTACCAGACTGTTTCCGGAAGAACAGATGCCCTAAGATCATTCAGGTAGGAGTTGAGGTGTATTCTCTGACCCCTATCACCAAAGGTAGATCAATATATCATAAAAGGCTCCTTTCAATCAGCAAATTGTCCACACCTCTAAAATCTCCAATTTATACAAAGACCTCTGGCTTCCTGGAATTTCTTATACATTTTCCATTCGAGAGAGTCCACAAAAAAAATTTTGTTTTGTGATGGCTTGGTTTTATTAAGATGTGCTCTCAGAGGCTTCTTTGTCCCTTTTTTGGTGCTGTGACTTAAGTACCTTCTTTGTGTGACCTATGAGCAAGTTAGCTAACCTTGGTTTATTCCAGATCGTTGTAAGGAGTAAATAAGGTAAGACTTGAAAGAACTTGGCACAGTGCCTCAAACACAGTAGGTGCTAAATAAACTTAAGCTATGACTAATAAGAATATAAAAATGTAGTAGTGGTCATCGTATAATGTTAGTATTGTCTCTCCCTCTCCCAGCCCTAGACATTTCATTGTTTCCCTGCATTTTGTCACCTCTCTTCCCATTTGCTCCACGAAGGCAGGTGCTCACATGCAGATTCTTGCCTCGCCCCTTTATATCTGGAGACTCTGGAATCTCTCAGGCTGTCCTGATGTTGTAGATTGCAGGGCACACTTTGCAACCGAATCCATCTTTCCCAACGAAGGAACAAATCCCTCCTCTGCAACAGTCAAGCACCCAGGAAATAAACAAACAAAAAACCCTCTGCATAATTTTTTAAATATCTTTTCTCCATCAGTTAAACTACTCTGGCCAGTCACCCCCAGCTATGCAGTAAAGGAAAAAGCCGTTTTCTCACCAGTCTCCAGCTTCAGCCTCTGACTGCTCTTCTTCCACGACAGAGTGACAGATGGAAATGTTCCAAATAGCGAGTCATTTACTAAAAGATCAAGCATTTTGAACCCCTAGATTCTCACAAAAACAGTCCCTGTGCGTAAAACAGTAGCTGTAAAACGTAGCTTGTGCTGAAGAACCTGCAGGGGGAGCCAGCCTCCTTAATTACTGGCCTCCAGATCAGCAGACGCTGAGTGAAATGCCTTCCTCTCTCTTCTGCTCTCAGGGTTTCTTTAGGGGCCCCTGTCTCCAGAACATAAGTTCTCTCCCTTTAATTTTCTGTATCCTTCCTTGTTAGGAAGGCAGTGGCACAGACTCTTAAGTCCTACTTTATGTGGGTATAAAGTTATGTTCTTTGCTTCAGGAGTAAGTCTGTGATTCTCTGCAGGCATTACGAGCTGTATATCTGTAGGTAAAGCTGATACCAATCCTCACCGTGTTCACCTAAAAACTTGTCTTGCGTAAGAGTTTCTACTAAGTATATTCTGGAAATACCTATATAAGCTATCTAAGAAGTCTGCCTTCCTGTTTTCCACTTCTTGCTCTGCTCCCAGCTCATGCTTGAATTTTCTCCCTCACCTGGCTTCCCTTTCTTCTACCCTGAACTGTCTCATTTTTTAAACTAGAGATTCCAAGTCATAGACCTTTGTTTTCATTATTTCATGGCTTCGTCCCCATCCGATGCATTCCTGTTCACCCTTCTCCGTTTCAGTTCCTTCCGTTTTCCCCGAACCCTACGCATAATGATTCATCTGTTGTTTGGAGTTAGACCAGTGGTTCTCAGCCCCCGGTCCTCTGAGGACCTTTTAAAAAATGTGCCCTGGGATGAGACTGATCATTAGAACCTCCAGAGAAGAAGCTTGTGCATCAGAATGTGTTCAAAGCAACTCAGTTGAAAATATTGAGCTATACTGAAGGAGGATAAGGACATAGCCTTTCCTCTCTGCTTATGCCCCTTAAGAGTCCCCTTCTCACTAGGCCCTTAGTCAGCACATTTACTGACCCTGACCAACACTGTGACATCTCCGGGACCTTGTCCGTGACATTCAGGCTAAGGCAAGAATAATGAAGGCTTTTTTTCATAGACCCACAAAATGGATATGGACTAGAGGAATCAAATATTCCAGTTAAACTCTGATCTCCAAATTCAGATTAACATTTACAGCCTATTCCTTATGTGTCCTTTTTTTTTTTTTTTTGTGGTACGCGGGCCTCTCACTGGTGTGGCCTCTCCTGCTGCAGAACACAGGCTCCGGACGCGCAGGCCCCGCGGCCACGGCCCACAGGCCCAGCCGCTCCACGGCACGTGGGATCCTCCCGGACCAGGGCACGAACCCGCATCCCCTGCATCGGCAGGCGGACCCCCAATCACTGCGCCACCAGGGAAGCCCCTTATGTGTCCTTTTTGAAGGTCACAATCACAGAAATAAGAGCAGAAGGACAGCAACTAGGCTGAGGTAAGGAGGTAAGGAGATACCAAGGACACAAAATTTAAGGAGGCACTCACTCTCAGGTGCCCACCCTGCACTTACAAGATCCTGGGAGTGACTGCTTCCTTAAATTTTGCATCCTAGGAGACTCTCTTTACCTCATTCTAGTCCTGGCTCCAAAGGGAGCTAAAATGAGACCTTTTCTAAAGGAATGCTGGAATGCTGGGAAGCGAGGATGACTGTAATCACCCAGTTCAGTGAAGATTTAATAAGTAAAACTGATACAGCCTCCTGAGCACATCTTAGCAGTAAGATATCAGAACTTGAAATGAGAATTATGATCTGACATTAGCTCCCAGGGCTGTATCCCCCCCCCCCCCCC